TCAAGCCGTGATTTGTCATAATTGTGATGATTATGGCTTACAGCACATGAAAACCCCAAGAACCCCAAATCCACAACCTCAAAAAAGTAGAATATTACATGCAATCAATAAAACAAGGATTGTACATAGAACAATATCGGACCTCTGAAAAGTACCAGCATGCATATGTACTCAGTACTTGGTTTGGGCCCCTTCTGCAGCACTTACTGCAATTACTTTTGCACGATATTCTAATTATTCGAGTTTCACCTGTAGAGGGATGCATTGATAGAATTAGATTTTTGACTGTAAAGGTCTGCCTTAATGCCCTCGTCATTGTCACATGGTAGCATGGGGAGAGCCCTTAGCTCTGTGTAAGCAAATTGTGACCTAAAAGTTACACGAAGCTTATTCTCCTCACTCCTACATTTGAAAGGAGCACCAATGGAATAAAAAGATGATGCATGTAAATTGCTGGTGGAGCCAGTATTACATTGAACCTATTACTTTTTCCCTGTATGGGCAAACAATGGATTCACTTTAATATAAATAATATTATCTGCACGTGTAATGTTTTAGAACTTTTTTTTATGTCCATCATTTGCAATAATATATGGACATGTCAGTGGCAATACTAGCTAAATATCACACAGGCTTGACTTCCTGCCTAATATTTCTGGAAAATAACTTTGCCCTTTTGATCTTCCTATCTCCCTGCAAAACCTATCTGGTAGGATCTATTTGCCATAGATCTTCTGTATTCTCTAATGACATGAAGCAACCACAATGCTCCTAGTAGCCATAGAATGTGACAGCTTACACTGAGGGAGGTTAGCGTGCAATTTTTTTTTTATCCACAGCAACATTTTTCTTCAACCCAAAATAATGTGGTTTAGAATTGGCAAATTGATATGTGTAAAGATTGTGTTTACTCCACTTAAATAGACACATGCAAATGGATTCACCCAGTTCTAGATCCTGGAAACATCAGCCAATGCACTTCAATTTCAATTCAATTCACTTATTAAGTCGCTCAATAAAATCAGTCAGGCTGGTTTATCTTAAATAAGTTAAGTTACCAAAAAGTGTGCAGTCCCCTCTCCCCACAAATGGGTTGCCTCACACTAGCCCCAATGCCCTTCAGCACTCTATCTATGGTTCAAGAGAGGATCACAAAGAAATGGGCCCCTGTCTCAAAATACCTGCATTTAAGCTGAAAGATACCAGACACTCTACATTACATGGACTCAGAAAAAGTGATGGAATCCAGGAGGGGGAATGTACCTGTTTCAGGTAACCGGTAAAGGGGTCCATTATACCCCTTCACCATAATAAAAGCAGCGTAAAAGAATTCTGAGATGATTGGCTATTGCTGGCAATCATGCAAATGTTCAGTCCCTTGGCTTTTCAACAAGAAAAAAAAGCAAAAGGTATAGAATTTTGCCATGACAATGCAAACTTGTACTCGATATCTTAGCACTCATTTACACACGAATTGACCTGTAAAAATTAAACAATGCTGAACCGGGATAATGTAGATTAAATGGCTGTGGAGATAACGATATCCTTCACACATGTTTAATGTATTCATCAATAGAATGCTTGGGAAGTCTCAGGCCAAGATCTATAGTAAGGTCACAAAGGTTTGTACTGTAGCCTACAAGAGCATATCTTGCTGCTAAAGGGGAGGTACTGTATTAAAGCGGTGTGGTGGCTTTGTGGTCGGCAGTGTGATGCTGCAGTAGTGGGGTCCTGGGTTGAATCCCTTTCAGGGGCTCTGCCTTTAGGAGGTTTGGAGAAAATAATTGGGTTTGCTAATTATTGTCTCAAGATGGCTGCATTCTCTAAGTCACCAGCATAAAGTACAAGAATATAAAACATCTTCACCTGCCCTGACTTTCTTTACTTTCTATCCTTCCCTGGAAGCTCTCCATCATACCTACAGTATTCTCTCTCTCTCTCTCTCTCTCTCTATCTCTCTCTCTCTCATAACCCCTTCTGTCTCTCTGTCCCCCCTCTTGGTCTTTCTCATCCCCTCCCTATAGTCCATCCTTTTTGGCACAGCCCTGTCATCTTCCTTGTGTTGCTTTTTTTAATTCTGTAGGAGGGTGACATATGAAGAACAGAAGAACAGAGTGAAAATGGTTCAGTTGCCAATAGCTGTTAACATCTCTTGTTTCATGTATTTATATAATTAAATATAAAATCAGATTTAGGTGCATGTTTACTCCAAGTTCTATTAAACAGATATGATACTTCCTTCTCTCTCTCTCTCTCTCTCTCTCTCTCTCTCTCTCTCTCTCTCTCTCT